CCTAAGGGCTCACCCAGTCACCTGCCAGGTATACAGCTCCTTCACTGCCATTTTCAGATGCAGAATTGTCTCTGGTACAATCTCTTTGCTATACTCCTGCTGATAAATCTGACTTCCCTAGATGTATACCAGTGATCAATTTTGCTTCTTCTTAGGTTACTTTTTGAAGAAGATTCCAGAAAGAGGGCAGATAAAGAATGAAAGCTGGCAAGGCAGTTTCTCTGCTTCCAGCTTCCTGGGCCAAAACAGATAAAGAAGTTCCTGCTGTTCAATTTAATAAGAATCAGTGTCTAGCTCAAGCCTCGATCGTCAGACCAGTCACACTCAATTGGCATAAAAGAAGTGTTTCCGAGTGTCTGCATTTCATTTCAGCATGTACATTTAAACTCCCTTATGCTTTTTCCTAAAGACACAAAAGACGCTGCTGTTCTTGTCTGATCCATCAGATTTGCACCTTTTAGGTAAGAGTTTAATTTTGCCTTTATGTCACATGTATTCTTTACTCATAACTGTATTCTTTGAAATGTGTATCTCAACCTCTACAACAATGGTTGAGGTCTCCTCTTTTGGGTTTCTCCATCCTGCCGTCCAGACAGCATTGCCTTTGAAAACTGGGTCTTATGTTAGTTAGCATGTCCTTGTCCAGGGAGTTTGTTCTCCGATCCCTAAGCACCTATTATGTGCCTTCATTTTGTCATCCCGGGAACTCATAATGATTATGTAGCCCTAGTTGTCAAAGAATTTTCTATTCATTCATCGCCTTCTCTTTTCTGACCTCTACTGAGGAAACATTCCTCGCCACATCCAAGAAAAAAGCTTATAAAACGCCTCCCCCCACCCCATCAATCAGGCCGTAAGAAAGTTATCCTTCCTTTAATTAAAAAAGAATCCTTAAGTCAAATTCTGACACTTCTCTGGTCATAATATACCTTAGAAAATTTATTTACATTAATTTGTATCTTTGTGTTCATAGCTGTTTTGTCCATTTGGATTACAGATCACAATCTGGGCTGGAAGAGGGACAAAAACTGATGGGAGAAGAAATCACATTTATTGGAATAAACCTCATAGTTTCACCAGAGACTGGAAGAAGTCTTTCCACAACATGACAACAAAGCCTCAACGACTGCCCCAGGGTCACTCGGCACTGTGGCCAGCTAGGAACAGAGCTGCAAGTCCTGCCTTTCTGTCTGCTCTCCTCATCAGCCGCCCACACCCGCTCCAGTGCTCCCCTCACCCCCCACGGTGGGGGGCGATGAGGTCTGCAGGAACCTCACACAGAACCAAACGCTGTATAGTTAAAGCTGTGGCTGCAATCTCATCTGTAAACTTAATAGGATCTCAATGAGAAGCGAAGCTGCACATGGGGAAAGTCAGCTGTGGACTTTAAACACGGCACAAATGAAGTTAGTTGGTATCACCCTACTTCATACCCTGCTTTCCCCCTGAAATTGGGAGGGTTTCAGGTCTATGTCAGTTTCAGGTCATTGTCAAATAATCCTTAAAAAAAAGAATGCTAAGAACAAAGAAACCAAATCAGGAAAAAAAAAAAGCAAAAATAAAAACCTCTGACCAAGCCAAGCCTCTAAATATAGCTTTTCCACTTACCTCAATGCAGATAATTCTAAGATATATATTTCTGATTCTATTCATTGCATTTAAAAGAGAAAGACCACACCAGGGTAAGCAAGGCAGGGTGGTCAGATGCATAATCTAATGACAGTGTGTGGAAGCCACTACAGAGAAGGCGGGAGCCCTGCCAGATGGTGCGGTGGGGCTGAGTTGCTGATTTCTATGCAGAGTCCGCCGAGATTTTCCAAGTACGGACAGCTCTTGCTGAAATGAAAGTAGAAAATGCAGGACCACAGCCCACACCAAAAATTCAGCTTAGTAAAGACAGAAAACTGCCTGCGAAAGGAGAAGGTATGTGGCCTTGCTCCTCTCAGCAGAGTAAGAAGCCTTCCTGCTGCAGCCTTTTTACGATTAGGGCTAAAAGCCTGTCAGTCTTTGCAAAGGCACGCTGAACTGATGTCTGCGTCTGGTGCATTTGTTTTCTAGTGCCTGAGACGATGCTTTTCTGAGCCATCAGATTTGTTTGCAACTATACACTTGTGAAAAACACGAAGAATCAGCAAAGATCAGCAATAAATGGCTAGTTAATGCGATTATTCCAAAATGGTAACAGGACCATCAGCATAAGGCACCCGTAGCACCTCTCCACCCCCAGGCCTCTGTCTTACTAAGCACACGGTCTAACTTTGAAATTGCTGCAGCATCATGGAGACTGTGGAAACACACTCAGTCTACTGGATTTCAGTGAAATGGTGTCTAGAAGGAATCAGCAGTAATAAACAAGTTTTACCAACAATCAGAAAAGATGTAGAAGGAAACTGATAGGCCAGTGAGCAGCGGGGTTTTGGTTTTCTCTTTTGTATTTTAATTTTGTGAGCTCTCCAAATCCGCCACTAGGCTAGGAAGATAGTAAGGACAGCCACCTCTAGGACCATGTCTAACAAATGTCTTATAAGTAGCAGGCTGACAAAAATACACCCTCAGTGAACTGCACGGCCTTTGCTATCAAGCCCCACGTTGCCCCACCACTGCCAGGTGAGTGCAACGTAGGTGATAGAATGTTCTCGTGTTGGTTCTACTGCTCACCAGCTGGGGAACCCTTGAAGTGTCAAAGCTTTCAGCTTGAAAAGGAGAGTAACATCTTTTCTGCTTCCCTGTTGCAAGGATCAGTGAGCTCAAGAAGGCAGAAGTGCTGGGAAAATGCAAAGTACAGACAAATGTAGTTATCACTACAGCTTATTAGAGTTTAGTGCATGGCAACCAAACTGCTCTTGTTACTTTTTCCCTCCACCTCACCCCCATCTACTAATTCATCTCCATCTTCCGTAGCTTCCCTGCTTTGGTCTCCCAACAGCTCAGGCATACTCAAGATTACAGCACTTTTGTCTCCTTTTGGCAGCTACCAATATTTACCTGGTGGTTATCCGAGCTTCATGGAGATGAACTACGGCAAAGTGTGTCATTATCCCAAAAGAAATAGTACTCTTCATTGCACAGTGTGTCACGTTGCAAGCAGTCTTGAGCCCACTCCTGGGAAAACAACTCTGGGTTTTCCGACCGTCCGCCATTAAAGGAGTTCCCAGCACTGAGCTAACTTGCAGAAATAAGTGTGCGTCGGGGGCGGGGAGAGAGGAGGGAAGGGGCAGTGAGTTGGTAGGAAATTTCTCAAATAAGAGTCAGGTGAGAGGCATCAGAGTCATAAAGGCAAGAAACGCCTCTCTAGTTTGGGCCAAAGAAGAAAAGGGAATGGTGAGCACACTTACAAATAAAGAAAGCGACTCGTTTCATCACCTTTCATCCCCTTTCCTCATCTCTCCTCTACATTACAGTGGTTTTCAACTATTACTGCACATTCAAGTCACTTGGGAACTTCTAAAAATGCCCAGACTACACCCCAGATTAACTAAATCAGAATCTCTGGGTGAAACAGCCATCAGTAGGTCATTACAGTCACCCAGGTGATTGCAATAATCAGCTAAGATGGAAAAAACATCTCTGTTCCTTTTTTTTTCTATTCACTCCTCCCCCCTCTCCCCGCCCCAAACCCCATGCCACACACCTGCATGGTGTTACCTGGCTGAATCCCCAACTAGGGCAGCACGAGGCAATACGTGGGCCTCAGAGCTGACTTCAAACACGGTTTTACCATTTACAGGCACCTGCCCAGGTGCATGGCTTCTCTGAGCCACGTTTTCTCATCTGGGGAGTATAGGAGCTTATGACAATACATGTAAAGAGTAGATTCTCAATACATGTTAATAATATCTTTTCTTCATACATACGATGTCACAGAGCCATTTCGCATGTCCTCAAATTACTGTTTTTTTCTCACCTCTTAGGAAAGCTCCCATTCACTCAATGTTTGATTATTTCAAAGTTGATTACTGTAGGTATATTTGCTTATTAGCCCAAAGTGATCTGGAATTAGTAGGACTTAAAAGTTGTGAAAGATACTAGTTTGCTGGATTGCTCTGACATGAAATCGAGGTATGATGGTTAATTTTATGTATCAACTTGGCTAGGCTATGGTACCTAGTTTTTTGACCTAGGGATCAAGTACAAGTCTAAACGTTGGTGTGAAGGGTTTTTTTAGATATAATTAACAGTTAAATCAGTAGACTCTGAGTAAAGTAGATTATCCTGCATAATGTGGGTGGGTTTCATTCAATAAGCTGAAGGCCTTAAGAGCAAAGGCTGAGGTTTCCTAAAGAAGTATCAATTCTAAATCATTCTCTCCTGTCTCTCTCTGTAACTCTTTGTCTCTTTCTGTCTTTTCTCTGTCTCTCTCTCTCTATATATATCCATTCTATTGGAGTTCTCTCTCTCTCTCTCTCTCTCTCTCTCTCTCTCTATATATATATATATATATATATATATATATATCTCACCTATTCTGTTTCTCTGGAAAACCCTAATACTCCAGGTGTCCTTAGAAGGGCTTCATAATTAACATTTGCTGTGTCCACTTCTCCCCTTTCTTCCTCTCTGGAGAGGGATCAAAGCTCTTTCCTTTTTTGCCTTCCCAAAGCCAGTGATACATTTTGCCCCCTAAAGTTAGATCAGTTTAAAATAAATAATTTAATAACAAAAACTAGGTATATAGTGGGATTCAGCAGTTTAGGTTTTCATTAAGATTTTCTAAACGTCCATTTTACGAATCTTAAGGGCCATTTATATGAACTACTTATCATTTATATGTGTAGCACATTCATGATTTCCAATATCTTTAAATATGTGCGGTTAAATTGAGTGGCTTTCATTTGATACTTACCGTCTCAGGGCCTTCATGGTCTTCTGCACATGTCGCTTAATCAACCCCAATGTTTAAAAGCATTAGAATTCTCCCCTTTCTCAGTGAGAATGTTAGAACCCCCATCTGCTCTGGTCACCAGATGAAGTGAAAACAATAGTAGGAAATTGCGGGGTACAGCATTTTTTGGTAGGATATTCAGAGTACTTCTGACTATTTTTTTTAAATCCAGAGTATATTTTCTTCTAAAATACATATATTGCATCATTTAAGGGAGAAACAAAAAATAAGATTAAACGCATTTTGGTGAAGTCTTTAGTAAATGATCCCAAAGATACCAGGAGACAAAAGAAAGGATGTTCTTTTCCTCAATACTGGTATTAACTATTGTGCAGTGAAACAGGTAATTTTAAAATTCCAGTTAATTCCAAAGATTTTTAAAATTTGCTTCTTCACTCAGCATTATTACGCTCCTACTGACCTGTTATTTTGCAATGTTGTGAATATTAAGTTAATTATCAAATTGTTATTGTCTCAGGCTACCTATACTGAGTTAATATAATATTATTACTATAATGACAAAAATATTTGAATTATGATAAACATTAAGCTCATGGACTAAAAATGTGCTACCTTAAATTTTTAAAAATTGAATATGCTTTATACAACATCAAAATAGTTTAAGTGGCACTGTTTTTCAAAATGTGCTTCTGCTTATCCCATAATCCTTTTAGTATTTGCTTAGTAATTCAGCAAAACTCTTTAAACTGAATAAAATTAGGATTTTGTGCTTCTATGTTTACAGAAAGAGCATATCAGACTAACAAATTTGATAATCTAAAAAAAAAAGAAAGAAAGAAAAACCTGTTCTAATTTCAAAGGTTCAAAAATAAAGGTTATTTGCTATGCAGACCTAGACTGCTTGTTGTTTTTAAGACAGCAAATTAGAAAAACATGTCCAGAGTTAGAGGTTCCTCAATCAGATTGAAGCTGGGACTTTTACTCCAGCAGCTCTTGTTCCCCAAATTATATCTAATAATGTTCTAAAGTCTAAACATATTTTAGTTCAAAAAGGTTCTCAGCTCTTACATATAAAATGGCACTAAGCTTCCAAATATCAACAGGTTTACCCACTCTTCAACTGATGCTTTCAGAGCAATCTGCCACTCAGGACCTCTGAATTGTAACATCTGAGGAACTGAAACTTCGAGCTAGAATGTTTGTTTTGCATTTTCCGAGGGGCATTAATACAGGAGTTGATGTACCGGCCACTACCAAGGACTATTACTTCGACAGAGTCATGCCAATGGAGCAAAGCTGACCATGTGCAAGTGAAACATAATTTCAGCCTGTATTGTGTGTTACATGGAAGAGAAGACCAATGTGTCAACAGACACAAGGAGTAAAGTATCTAAGATGGTTGCAAACTAGGAACAGCATTTATATTTCTCAACAATTCAAGATAGATGGTGATACGCCTTTCTCTAAAGTAGCTAAAAAAATATTATTATCTGTAAAGCAAGATGGTGCCCATAAACTTAAAATTGGCAAATGCCATTGAACTGCATTTCAGAGAGAGGAGGAACTAGAAATGGCAGTGCTCTGAGGATGTCCGCGTGGGTGGGCGAGCATATGTTGCTGCTAAGCAGAGGAAGCGGTACACCAGGATTTCTTCCTAAGTGCGAGGTCTTTATAAACTTACCCTCATGCGGGCTGTTTTAAATAGAAAGAAAATGACACACAGTCCCCAACCAGGCTTCCTAACTGTTTGGAGAGGGTTGCCACTTTCCCAAAACATTAGGTTACTGTGGGGGAATTTTCCAAAATTGTCAACAGTTCCATTTTTAAACCCAGTTCTTCCTTTCCACATAAGAGATGCAAGGCAGCATGAACTATATTTGGTCTAGTAGGAGATGTTGAGTTATTTTTACAATGCTGACTCCTACCTGACAGTGGAAGACGTATTCTGGTGTGGTTTTCTTAAACTTCATGTTCCAAACCAAGGCCACTCCATCTGGCTCGTGGGGGGCATCTTCATTGTTGTTGTAGGAGGCGACCATCAGCTCGGGGTACTGAATGGAAGAGGTCACAAGGACGGATTACGTCAAGATGATAACAAAAAAAAATCATTCTTGTTCCTACAGGCACATGCTACATTACATACTTTAAATGGCATTTTCTTCTGAAGCTGTGGCATACTTAATACCAACTTCATGCCTCAACCCACTGCAGTCTGGCTTTTATCTTCAACATTCCACATGTGCTTGCCATAGTCACCAATGACTACCAAACTGCCCATGCTGCTGGACCTCTCTGTATTCTCTGACATTTGGGTTACTTACTCCTTTCTCCTGTGTTGGCTTCCATTACAACCTTCTCTCCTGATTTTCTCCCTAACCAGTCTTTTTAGTCTCTACAGTTTCTCTTTCTATTACCTATATTCCAAGGGGGGCTGTGTTCTGCCCTCTTTATGTCTCTGTCTACACATTCTCCCTGGGTGATCACATCAATAAATATAACTTTACTAAGCACTAATATACTGACAACGTTCAAATCTTTCTCTCTAGGCTTGATCTCTCTCAGGTACAGATTTTGCAGCTTACTGCTTGCTGGGTATTTCTTAAGGCTGTCCATGACATATCTGATGAGATGCATAGAAAAATGAGTTTATTGCCTTCTACAAAAACCTACTGCTCTTCCAACATTCACCTTGTGAATGCCTTGCACTAACATTACCTAGCTTTCCAGACCAGACACTGCACATTCATTTCTACTCCTCCTTCTTTCTCATCCCTATATACTGTGTTTCACTACTTCCTCAGCACCTTTCAAATGCATGTTTTCTTTCTATCTTTAAGGTCAGAGCCTCCTAAATGAATTTCTTGTCTGAGTGAAGACAAGAGCTTTTTAAGTTGCTTCCTGCTCCCAGGCTTGCCAGACCCTACCTTCACCTACTCCACTCTCCATCCTTTGTTAATATGACTTTACAAAATACACACTTGGCTAAGTCACTCCTCTGCTTAAAATACTTTAATGGTTCATCATTACTTTCCAGATAAAATCCAAGTCACATTAGATCCTTCATGATCTGTTATTTTCTACCTCCTCTGCTTAATCTCCTATAACCTGCCCTCTCTCCTCCCAAACCCACCTTATGACCTAGCCTCACTGGTCTAGTTCTGAGGTTCATAGGCACAGCCTCTGTACCTATGATTCTGATACTTATTCTCATTGGAATGCCTATTCTGTGTTGGTTATATCGTTAACTCATTCGTTAAGACTCAATGCAGGTATCAGGTCCTCCAGATAATCCTAACTGACCACCCGCCACCCCTCCTTGCCTCTCTTCATCTCCCTTAGCATTATGTGTGTGCCCATTAAAGCACCTGTCAAACTGTATTATGGTTTTTCCCAGTCTATGTCCATTACTAGACTGTAAGCTCTCTGAGTGCAGGGACCTGTTTTTACTAACCTCTGAATCCAAGGTCTAGTAAGTCCTAGCACATGATAAACTTGTGCCAAAATCTGTTGAATTACAGATGCTCTTTTCTATTTTAGTAACACTGTGCTCAGTGGAAAGACCTTATCTTCAGTCCTCTGTTGTCAAATAATGCCAGCAATTAAAGACTCAAAGAAACACAACTAGTAAAAGAACAAAGAGGACTCTACAGCAAGTAGAAATATATACTCACCACACACAAACTCTATGCTGAGTGTTATTAAATAAACTGAGGCTGATTCTTATGGCAGGTATTTATGAATTAGAGTACCTTTCATGGAAATGCCATCCCTATATGGGATTCCCAGAAGGCAGCCCCATTCAAAACAGCATCAGGATTACACAGATCATATCACTCTTTGCTCATAGGTAATCTAATTTTTTCCTTCTTTTTCACTACACTGCATATATTTAACATAAGACTGTCCTTATAAATTCAAACATCAATTTTTTTCTTATCAAAAATAATTAAACCTAAGTCTTCTACGTGGCTTTATTCACTCTTTGAGCTCCCTCAACTTGAGAAAGCTGCAGAGAGCTAAAACTTGCTAGTTGGTGCAGAGGAAGGAGAAGCCTACAAAAATACACATGTATGTGGCCAGCAGGGGAAGTAATCATTCTTTATTAGAAAACACCCCTCAGTGGATGAATCAAAGGCCTTTTTAATAGGCCTTTGATTCAAAGCCCATTCAAAGAAACTAACATCCAGATAAACACAGAAGACTCCAGACTGCCCATCTGAAGTTTAACCATGTCCCATGTGAAAAGGCAACTCTGTAAACATCAGCACCACTACCATAGTGCCCAATGGGCAGCCAGATGTGTCTAGAGTAACATCCCACAGCTTCACATCTGGGTCTCATCGCTGGCTCTCACTTGCAATTTTCTTTTAATTTTTTAAAAAATTATTGAATTGAAAACTCCTTTAGAAAACAAGGAGAGTTATAGTAAATTACCAGTGAAACGCTTTTGGTGTAAGTTCTATACCTGGGCTCATAAGGCCTAAAGATATTGATTAAATAACTCTTACCTCACGAAAGTTTTTATGATTTCAAAATCTCCTCTAGTTATGTGTGTCTAAACAAGACTAGTCATATTTTCTTATTTTCCAATAAAACGCAATACATCTCCAAACAATTATTTGTTACAAACCTTAAATGTTAAAATTACAAACCTTCATTATTTTTAAGGGAATATGAGACATTGGGAAGTCTGGATTACTCAAGGGGCTGAATTATCTAATATTTAACCTTGGAAATTTTACCTGGGCATCACCAGATCTGCTCTCAACTGTTTGTTCTTATAAAGAAATAAAATCATGTATTTATTGGAGAGAAAGGAACTAACATGTTTTAAGTGCCCATTATGTGCCAGACACTGAGCTGGATGAGACATTAACTCATTTGGTCCTTGCAATTCTCTGAAGTAAGCAACAGTTTTCCCATTTGCACAGACAAAGAAGCCAAGGGTCGCTGGGTAAGGAACCTGTTCCAAGTTATGTTGCTAATAAATGATAAAGTGAGACCCTGCTTGAAGTCTGTTTGGTTTCAAAGGCCACATCCCTTGCGGCCCACAGCGGCATGCGTCAAAGTGGCCCCTTATGCATACCATGTATGCACTGGTACTGGGTAAAATGAGGGACAAGAATATCAACGGTAACATGCTTTGCTTCCTAGGAACTCATCATTAAGTAGAGGGAGGTAAGATACAGGCATGAGCAACTACCACACAAATATAAAAGCAGAACATGGTATGTA